GGAGCTGCTCCTTGAGAAGCCTGTGCCATGTTGAAGATTTAATGTCGGTCGTGTTCCCGAATATACAAACAACAACTCCTCCCAGGACCCCTATACATTGAACAAAGCTCTGATATCAAAGGGGAACCGAAGCCTTAGCCTCCAGCGGGCACCGTATGGAAATACTCTAGAATTTTGTTAGGCAATGGCTTTGACAGTGGCGCATGCTGGAAACTGCTTAGCTAACCCCACCTTTCTTTCTCGTTGATTATATATTTTTTCCTGATTGCCTTTCCTTATAGAATAATGACTTTAAGGCTCCTTAATCCCAATCTTTTGGAATTTATTTTTAGAGCATCCACAAATGGATTGTCCAGCAGCATTTTTTAAATTTTACAGGGTCCATATACATATTGTCTAGAAATTTGCCTTTCAAAAGTGCATTCTCCTTGAATTGCCCTCAAATACTGAAATAATTATACCTAATACATATATATACTTTACACTTTAAAAACTGCTTAAGTACATATTAATTTTTAAAGAAGCTCTAGGAAATGCAAAACAAATAAGAGTGTTCTTAATTTCAGGGGTGAAATCGGGGTTTGGAGTGGTGAATAAATTCATTGCCCGGGGACCTATTTATCTTGTGCCCGCTGCACACAGGCTTATTCCAGAAAGGGAGGAAGCTTAGAGAACGAAACAGACAGGACCTTGCTTTCTGAAGTTTGTATCTGAGTGAATTTTTATTTATTGGACAGTGGAGATGGGCTGAGTAAGAAGAGGGTCCCAGACTAGAAACTGTCCCTTTGTGTTCTGGTACAAACAGTATCCTTTCCAGGCAAGTGACATAGACTGATTATTTGAATCCTTAAACTTAGGATATGCATGAAGGAAAGATGCCAGGCTCTATTTTAAGGCCTTCAAGTGCAGCAAGGTTGTCGAATAGCATCGTTTCCTAAACGTTGTTTCATTATAACTTGGATGAGGCCCTGTGGGAACCTAACTCTCGAGCCTTCAGCTGGCTTTCCAGTGCCAGTTCTTAGGACTCAGCTGCTGTGTTGTCAGTTCAGGGGATGCCCACGCTGGGAACTGACTTCAACCAGGCACTGGTGGGTCTCACAGAAAGATGGGGTGTTGCATCTGACAATTCAGACACCTCACATTGACCCATGGACAGTGACCTTCAAGCAGTAAACCAATCTTGTAGGACACTTTTTCAATAAAGGTGATTTCTTACACAGGCATAAAAGGCTGAGTTTTTATTAACTTGTGTATCTCCTAGAGTGTGATATAACTATGAGAAAATAGAAGTAGTTGAGCCTTATTCAGAGTTATTGTAGCCGGCTGGCATGGCTCAGTGGTTGAGCATTGACCTCTGAACCAGGAGGTCATGCTTCGATTCCTGGTCAGGGCACATGCCTGGGTTGTGGGCTCGGTTCCCAGTGTGGGGCGTGCAGGAGACAGCTGATCCACGATTCTCTCTCATCATTGATGTTTCTCTCTCTCTCCCCCTCTCCTTTCCTCTCTTAAATCAACAAAAAAGTATTTTAAAAATGCCAAACCGGTTTGGCTCAGTGGATAGAGCGTCGGCCTGTGGACTGAAAGGTCCCAGGTTCGATTCCGGTCAAGGGCATGTACCTTGGTTGCAGGCACATCCTCAGTGGGAGGTGTGCAGGAGGCAGTTGGTCGATGTTTCTCTCTCATCGATGTTTCTAACTCTCTATCCCTCTCCCTTCCTCTCTGTAAAAAATCAATAAAATATATTTAAAAAAAAGTATTTAAAAAATAATAAAATAGTTATTGTATATGTATATAAAACAAAAATGAAAACAAGCCAAACATTGTTAGAATGCATGCATTCCATTTTAGTTTGGAAAGGAGGGTACGCTAGCCTGTCACTTATATAACGGGTCTAATAAAAACGTGGCAGGAACCTTTTGCAATGCACATGACAGTCGGCAGAACCTGCTCAGCATAGGTAGGTTCCGTCAGGTTTTCTTACATGTGCTTTGCTCTAGACCCATGTTCTCTGTAGGCAGACACTATCGTGTAGACCTGGCTTCCACAGCTGCCCACGCAAGGTAATTGCATCAACTCAACTCCAAGCTTTGTAGGCCATTGGAGGAGAAGGTGGCTTTCACACCTGGTGTGCTCCAGATGCCAGTTTTACTGGGTAGCTTCACCTTTTTCCAGCTGTGGAATTTTCTATGACTAATGAAGCTAAATATTTACAGTTCCCTCCACCTGTCAGGATGCTTTTATTTATCTGCAGACTGTCTCACAGCCTGTCATATGATTAACAGAAAAGCACTGGGAGATGCCTTCTGGGAGATGGGGAAGAGCAGATTTTTAACTGCATTTTCCAGCGACTTTTCAGTAGTGTGTCTTATGGTTGAAAATGGACCACCTGCAATAAGAATTTATGGTGGAAAGGTTGGCAGGATCCCATTTAATGAGGTCAGGTGCCTTGACTAAAATAGTAAGTACTTAGGAAACCGTAATTCTCTTCAAAAATACAGGATTTTAAAAGTATCACATGCGTATTTGAGGTTGGCAACGTTTTTCTATCTCAAGGACATCTCTACTTGGTTCCTTATAGTTTCTATAAGTATGGGATTATAGATTTCAGTCTTGGAGAGGGCCACAGATATGATCTCTCAGTGTGTTCTTTTTACAAACCTGAGTGAGGATGAGTGACTTGCATCATTTCAACTAGTTAATGGCACACTGGGAGAAAATTCCAGAATCAGGATTTCTAATTGAAACCCTTCATGAGACCAGTACTCAGTGAGACCTCATGTTTTTTTTTTTATACAGCCTAATGAATAATTCTGTATTCACATTTCTCTTGGTTATTTGTGATTATAATAATTCAGTTGTGGATCTCAGTGCTCTAAATTGATCAGTTGGTGTTGTCCACCTTAAAAATGAAATAAGACGGTCTTTAGCTATCCAGATTGAGTTTATTCAGAAATAGCAGAGGATTTGCAACTTTGGACAGCAAACTATGGGGAGACACAGGCAAGTAAGAGGAGACAAAGGGTCATTTCTTAGTACTCAGTGTTAAGAGTCTTTAACATCTTAATGTCTATACTTTCATCAGGCCCTAAATAACACCCGTTAATAAGTGTAGAATGCAGAGAAAGCTGGAGTAATTTTGAAGTTATTCAGAATGACCTCAGGAGTTCTGGAAATCCAGTTCCTATTCTCAAATCTACAGGGCCTGGAATCTGAGTCATATGGATATTCACTCAGGATTTTTCTGGGCTTTAGTATAATTAATAGGGTCATGACCCATAGATTCATGTCAAACTAGTTTCCTGTTTAATTAGACCCATGTGGAAACAGATTGTTTCAAGAGCAGAATACAGTTGACCCTTGAACAACGCTGGGGTTAAGGGTACCAACCCTCTGTTCAGTCAAAAATCTGTGTATAATTTTGACTCCCTCAAAATTTAGCTACTAATAGCTTACTATAGACAAGAAGCCTTACCAATAATATAAACATTCAATTAACACATATTTTGTATGTCAGGTGATTTATCTATATATATAAAAGGCTAATATGCTAAGTGTCCCTCCTTCCATCCAACCAGTCGCTATGACATGCACTGACCACCAGGGGGAAGACACTCAGGAACTGCCGAGCTACAGTGACTTGGCAGCAAAGGTTCTCGGGTGACACACCCTGGAACCAGAAAGGAAGGAGCCCGATTCCTCACGGGGCTACGCGGTTCCACCTTTGGCCATGGGTTATGTTGTAGCTGGGGCACTGTCGCCCCGAATCTGGTTCACTGCACACTTGTGTTTGCATTCCACACCCTGTACTACAGCAGCTTTGCAGAGTGCCCTCTCGCACTCCGGGACTCCTCAGGGGATGTCGGAGAGCCAGTTTCGGCCCGATCCCTGCAGGCCAGGCCCAGGGACCCCACCTGCTGCAGGGACCCCACAGACTCCCTCAGAGCCACGGCGCTACCAGCGCCACTCCAGGTGCGGCTGGCGGGGGAGGGACTGCGGGAGGTTAGCTCCAGGGCTTGTCCAGCCCTTCTCACCCAGTCTCACCCTGCTGGCCACCTTCTAATTAATTTCCTTTCAATGTGCACGAATCTTTGCTCCAGGTCACTAGTACACTATATTCTTACAATAAACTAAGTGAGAGAAAAGGAAATGTTACTGAGAAAATCATAAGGTTCATCTGAGAATTTTTTAAATTTGTCACAAATCTTCAAAAATATTCTAACATATTTCTTGAACAAAAAAATCCACATACAAGTGGACCCACGCAGCTCAAACCTGTGTTGTTCAAGCGTCAACTGGAGTGGAAAAGGTGCGAATTTCCCTTTCAATCCTATCAGACTGTTTTTAACAACGAGCAGTAAGTGATTTTTCTTCTTCAGATATGCAGAAATACACCACACATGATCTTGAGTGAGTCTTGCTGTAGACCAGTGGTTCCCAACCTTTTTTTGGCCATGCCCCACCTAAGCATCTTTAAAATCCTGATGCCCCTCCACCCTGTGACATATAATTCTTATTATTCAAAAAGTGAACACCTGTTCACATGGAGGAAGCCTAAAAGGCCATGAACTTGGTCTAAACAAGCTTCCGAAGAACATGGCATCCATGAAAGAGAAAAAAAAAAAGAACGAAAGAATTGAAGTACTGAGGAAGAAATCACTAAGAAATGGTTAAAAAATAATGATAATATGAAGTGATATGAAAAAAATAGCAAATAAACTTTCAAAATATAATAGAGAACTGAAATGCATAAATATGTCACAATATATATATATATATATATATATATATATATATATATATATCTACTGTATATGAAGCCCCTAGAACCATAAGAAATGCAAAAAATTCACTGTGAATAACTCATTCTCGAACTGCCCCCTTTAGAAATCAAATTGCCCCCCCGCCCTGTGGGGCGTGTGCCCCACGTGGGAACCACTGCCCTAGACCTACAGTGTGTATATTTGAATATGCTGACCACATCCTTGTTTGCTTCTGGGCAGGGGGACATCCAACAGCTGCTGATCATCAGTGACCCCAAAGCCGCCTACGACTACTGTGAGCATTACAGCCCGGACTGCGATTCCTCGGTGCCCAAGGCCGCGCAGGCGCAGGAGCCACAGATCGATGAGGTGAGGACCAGGAGGTGGGCCAGGGTGTCTCCTGTCCGTGGCAGAGACGCGGTCCTGCAGTTTGGAGGCTGGTCTCTATGTATCCCATTTCCATTAAAGCACACTTTTTTCAATAGCGCTCGCTATCTGGGAAGAACTGACTCGAAATGGCTTCTGGTGTTTTTTCCTTTTATTAAAGTATTTTGTAACTTAAGTTTCTTACAAATAGACATACCTCCCTTGTATGCGGTGTATATAAACATATTGCATGTTTGGGGGCGGGGGGCGAGAAAAAGATAATCTCTAAAAGCCCTGTTTTGCCCTTAGCACTGCAGTCATGAACTCTGCTTCCAGATCAGGGTGACAGAGCTCAGGGTCTCCCCACTTCCCAGGCCTTGAGGAATGTCTGCAGAGGAGACAGGGGCACTCTAGCCACCTTAAAGTTTATAGGATGTGAGGGAGTTTCTACTTCTGGTAGGCTCTGCTACATTGATATATGTTTTCTTTTTCTTGCACAAAATTTGATGTCAATCGCCATGAAATGAAAAGCAGTATGAACTGATGGTGGTCATTAAACTATTCATGTACTTTTATTCATGTTAGGTCACATTATTTGAAATTCAGGTGTAAAACCATTCTCCCAAGCGATTTTTTTCCCCAAGAAAATTCATCACAATGAAATCTGACTCTGTTCTCATTCAGACCAAAAATACACGGATCTAAGTTAGAACAGTCAGAGCAATTCTGTCAGCCTTGACTGTCCCAAAGAACAAGAAATACAGTCAGCGTGCCCTTTCTCCAGACCTTCCAGGAATATTGGTTGATGTGGATTTTCTGGAAATCAAAAAGTAAGCAATCTGGAAGTTAGCCTTCGGCTGGTCTCAAAACTATGTATTTAGATTCTTTTCACAAATTGAAAGTATTAAATTTTAGAAGAGATGGTAGAAGTTGAAAAACATTAAAACTGTCCTTGTGCTTAAAAATAGCTCAAATAGCATTTCTCTTACCTTCTAAATACACGATTACTAGGTGTCACCTTTTGAGTTTTACTATTTAGAACAGGCTAAGACTCTTATCTTTCAGTTTTAAATAGTTATTTTGAATATTACCTTTGAAATGCTGGAAATATGTATTTTTTACATTACTTTTTAAGGTCTGATAGTGATTTCTGTTGCAATGATCTTTTCCATGACTTCATATTAATTTTTTTTCAAAACAGGAAAAAGTCTTAAGAAGCTGAATCCCAAGAGGATCGGTAAACTAGCCCTCAGTGTTAGTGCTTTCATACCTTGCAGAGGATGCAGTAATCCCGTATTAAAATGCATGACATTTAGTATAGGTGTTCAAGATTGATGAAGTTTACTTTGTTCCTGTTTTAAAAAAGATAAGGCTGATATATTTTTAGCAACAGATATGGTGATTTCTTTTTAAAGAATAAAGGTATGTGTTCTTAATATGTCACCTTGAGGTGACATTCCCATTTTTTAATGCTATTAGCCAGGTAGCTGAGTTCTTTTGAATCAAAATAAGACTTTTTATCCCTTTTTTTTTATCTTAAGTTCATTTAAAAGTAAACTTGCCTTCATTTAAAATGGTAAACCTTTTTCTATTTTAATGATCTATACATATATTAACATTCTCAGATGTCAAATTTGTGTGTGTGTGTGTGTGTGTGTGTGTATGTATGTGTAGATAGATAGATAGATAGATAGATAGATACTACACTTGATCTTAGCCAAAAGGCCGAGAAGCGATGATAGATAGATAGATAGATGATAGATAGATAGATAGATAGATAGATAGATAGATAGATAGATAGATTTCAGAGAGGAAAGGAGAGGGAGAGAGATAGAAATATCAATGATGGAGAGAATCATTGATCGGCTGCCTCCTGCACACCTCACACTGGGGATCGAGCCCACAAACGCGAGCATGTGCCTGACTGGGCTCAAACTTGTTTTTGTTACAAGCATTTGATGAAAACAACATATTGCTGGAGCAAAGGCTGGCTGAAAGTCTGCTGGGGTGATGCGTAACAGCATCTCTTACTAGTTTCTCTGCTGAACATGTCACAATGAAAAATTTAAATCAGCTTTTGGTTTTTTCTAATTCTAAGTGACATTGATACTTCAATAATGAGACAACCATTTTATACTAGTATGTGAAAAACTGGTTAACCAAATCTGTAAGCAATTCTTATATTAATTTTGAACTATAATATATCATTATATTTCAAAAATACATTAAAAATTGATGTATGTTCTACCTATACAAAATAGGAATGCAATGATATTTGCTAATGAAACAGAAAATAAAGTACATGTGGAGCATCAAGCATACATGTTGTACTTTATATTAGTTAATTTTATGTTAATAAATTTGTGACATTCATATTTATTATTCTAATTTGAATTAATAAATATGTCAGTTTCTTTTAGAAGTTAACTGTGCTTTTTCTAACTTGTAATTTAGACTAGTTAGTTTCCTCTAAATAACAAATTCTTACTCACTTTTAGTCAATTTTTTATGTGTTTGGCACAATAGTGAAAAATGTATCATGTGAATAGATTTGAATATAGTGACCACATCATCAAACTTAAATTTTATTTGAACCTACATAATACCGTCTATATGGAAGAATAACTAACATTAAAATTATGACAGTTTTGATATTAAATCTATATATGGTTCTTTCTTCATGTATTACACAGATTATAATGCCTTATATCCAGTAGGCAATTGATGGTCTTACATATAAAAGATAGAAAAGAAAACAAAGATAATCTTTTTAAAAAAGTAAAAAATGATAGACTTGCCCAAATGTAGTACCTTAATTTTCCATTCATTTAATATTTATCATGTATTCTAGCTCTCATAGGTGCACAGATATCTACCGATGCCACTATTTTCTACCAAATGAAGCCAGAACAGACTTGACATTTCTAGGAGACCCTCTCTCCTCACAGACAGTCATTCACGCTCAGCTGCTCACAGACAATGTGGAAGTCCTGCCACCACTGCTAATCTTGCTGTATAGATTCACCTGGTTGATTACAATAGGGTCTCTCTTTTTCACCCGTCTTTAAGGCATCCTCAAAACCCCAGAGTTGGAAAGCTTCATGTAGACAACAAAGCCTTAAGTCTCCTCAGGGGATGTTGTGCAGATAAAAATAAGAACAAAAGCAGTGATGCTTTCCAATGAGACCGAGCAGCTCCAGGAAAGAGATGCCGTCAGTGCTTAGGTGGTGAGCGTGTTACTTCCTACATCATTACAGTCACCACTGAGTCTGGTTGGTCCCTATTTGGAAAGAGTGCAAACAGAGGACAGAATTATGGAGGTTAGACAAGGATTACTCCTTCCAGGGAAATCCATGCTCTAAAGATAACTGGCTACTTTGGCACAGGCTTATCTATAGATGGATATATAGGTAGGTAGGTAGGTAGGTAGGTAGGTAGATAGATAGATAGATAGATAGATAGACAGACAGACAGACAATAGTGTTAGCTATTATCTTTATATATATAAAGCCTGAATACCAGGCTTTAAGACACATTTAAATTCTCCCTATATGCCTTTCTTTATTGCTTTTTGTCTTTACAATTCGTTATAGATGCACATGATTCTGAAAAGCATACTTAATTATAAAACTCTAAAGCATAATATAGGTAAAGTAGACTGGCAATTTTTTTGGCTGTTGTTCTAGTTTCAGCTAGTAGCTAGTAATGATAGAACCCCGATATTTCTTCTTTCAACATGACTTATTCGATTATATCCACTCTCCATGGATGGCTACTGCATATATATCTAATTCAGTTCTTAATTATTTTATTTACTTAATCATGTTATCAGTAATACTTACATTAACTTTCCTAGAAATAATTGCAATTTTATCTCGATTGCAGAGGCATAAAGAAACAAAAATGTCTAAAGTGCTATACACGTGCATTTTTCTACTTTACCAAATTCTGTCAAGTTTTGTTATAAGGCATCCAATGCATATTCATTGAAAATGAGGATATTGCTGGTGAAAGAAAAGGATGACTCTGTTTCTATTAATTTAATCAAGTGGGAGTTTTGACAATCGTAAAGAAGGCCGGAGTTCTATGTTTAGACTTCAACATGACCTTCAGCTGCACCAGCTAGGAGAGGTCACTCCAGGGAGGGTATTTCGGGAAGGGCCAGATGTGCCCGAATTAGTCTGTTAAATCGACATTTTATTGCACAAAAAATTTAGTATAAAATACTATTTACAATGTGAGCTCACTTTCGTAGTTTATGGTATCTAAATGGCATGCCCTTTTTTGGTAGATACAAAGGCAGTATATTTAACATTTTAAACGAAGTGTTAAATATAAGCAGATATGATTTTGAATCTTTTAATGCTTCACAAGTATTCTAGTATGCTCATTTGGATCATAAGTAACAAATTCGAGATTTCTGAATAAATTTAAAAATTAATCTTTCCATTGGTTCTAGTATTCCCAATAGAATGTAGACTCATTTCATGTCCCTTGTAGTCCTTTCTCTCCCACCCTCCATTTCACAATAAATACCCAAACCCTTTCATACTTGGGAAGCCTAGTCTCTCTATTTTTCATTTTTATATATGCAGTTTAAAGAAAATAAGAAATCGCCCATGGAAACGACTGTAAAATTCTTATGGAGAAACCTTGTGGAGTAAGTTTTACAAACCAGAATCAACACGAATATCTAGCAACTGTGTCCAAATACATAACGGCTGTGTCTGAATTAATATCCAATAATTAAAAGCCTGAATTAATATTCAAAACTTTTAGTTTCTTCACAGTCCTAACCACCATCACGCTCCTAGAGCACCTGCTTCGTCACTCCCGGGTCATTATACTCTGTCTGGGACAGTATAATACTTGGTGTGACGCCAAATAACCCCGAAGGACCCATCCTTCCCCGGCTCTTAACGTTTCCTCCACGCAAACGTTAAGAAGACGATTCCTACTTTGTTAATGGTGTGACCCGCCGCTAACCACGTTCCCGCTGTCTCTCCCTCTGCGATGTAGTATGCGCCCGAGGAGGTGGTGGAGTATGACTATGAGTATGGGGACGCAGACTATAAAGAGGCTGACAGTGTGACAGGGACGCCCACTGTAGCCGAGGAGACCGTAGCACAAACCGAGGTAAACACCGTGGCCGGGTTCCCGCTGTTCGTCTCCCTGTGGCCCCCCTTCCGGCCCCCTGAGTCCTGTGAGCCAGTAACTGGTTTTCCTTTGGCAGCCGCTGTCCCGAGGGCACCGTGCCGGGTTCGCTGTGCCTGTTCTTCCTCTCACCCAGCCCTTTCCTCCCTTCTCACTTTATATTTATGTTTTCCATTCCGCCTCCCCCCGCGCGTTCCAGAAGAAGAAATCCCATTTCCAACAGAAGACGAGGACAGTGGCCACTAGCTCAAAGGAAAAGCCCCAAAAGTTTACGCCCCCTAAATCTGACCGATTTGCATCCAAGAAGAAGAAAAGTTACCGAGCAGCGGCCACAGCCAGACTAGGGGTCCAGGTAGCAAAGCCAGAGCAATCAAGATCTGTCCTAGACCCGCAGGACGATCTGTGATGATGAGGCGCTGACTAACCCGCCTAGACAAACCCTCCCTGGCTAATACGATCGCCCCGTCAAATCTTGATTCTAGAAGATGTGCGATCGCCTCCCATTTCGACTAATTGCGTTTCCATTGCGTTTATTGTCAGGCGAACATCGTGGAAGATTTTCAAGAATACAACTACGGCACCATGGGAAGTTACCAGACCGAAGCTCCCCGACGTGTCTCCGGCACCAACGAGGTAATGCGCCTGGGCAGGGGCAGGCCCAGCCCCAGGGGAGACCCTGGGCCTTGTTCTCCTGGGATGCCTCGCTCCGGAGGGACCCCCAGGGAGCCTCTGTGAGTTTGGGATTTTTATTGTCTCGCCGTGGTGAGAGGACCAGAGACGTGGGTTCGCTGTCCCTAAACAGGGGTCATGTGCAGCCAGTGTCAGTTCAGGCCCGCCCGGCTCCCGGCTTTGTGCACAGGCTACTTGGATCTGACTGAGTGGCCGCTCGCCTTACCTGATGCTCCTGGGCCCCCAGCTTCTGAGCGTGCTGTGATGAGCGGTGCTCACAACACGGCCTTCCCTGAGGAGCACCCGCAAGGGAGACTGTATCCGCCAGGGATACAGTCAGTTCTCCCACCTCGGCATCACCGGCGTTTCTGTAACAGCGCGCATCCTGAACAGATGCAGTCTTCGTGGCTCTTGTTCGCTGCTCACAGTTCCACACTGCTTAGGAATGCAGTGGTGATTATGGTTAAAATAACACATTTTAACCTTTCCCATTCTTCTCTACGAAAACATTTAAGGACATGTAGGTCCAAATCAAGCAATCTTTCTGAATTTCATATCATGTGTACGTTCTGATCGTGCAGAAATGAGCGTATGATTCCGTTTAACTTTGTCAAATACCCGCCTTCCCTGGTATGAACAATGCCTGAGGAATTGAGTTATTAGAACATTTATATAACCCGTGTCTCGGCAGGGAATTAACTCAGTGGTGCAGTACATGCAGATGCATAATCTAGAACAGTGACATTTTAGCCTAAGAACAGATAAGTTTCATCTTGTCCAAATTAATCGTTTCCCAAAATGGGTATCTTGATTCAAGATGTTTATTTATCTACCCAAACTCGTCCAGTTTTGTAGTTCTCAGCTCTGAGTACAGTAATATCTGCTGGATAATGTGCATCCCCTGTAGACCCCCCTGGTTTAAGAATACAACATTCCTGTGGTTATTGGACATTTCCCTTTAGTTAACAATTGCTACAGTTCAGCCACATTTTATTCACATGATTCTGTGTAATCTTATTTATTCAAGATTTCTTTATCATCTAGACTCACTATATCATAGTGAACAAGTTATTTAAAAGTGAAACTCAAAAAGTAGCAAAATAAGTTAATTTGAACTTCATCAAAATTAGAAGATGGCCAAAAATTGCATAATAAATATGATTTAGACTTATACTCTTATTAGGGAATTACTTGTGAGCAAATGAAAATTACAGTAAGTTTACGTTTCTATATCTCCGAGGGAGTATTATTGATGTAATTTTTACTTTTAAGTGAATATTTATTCTCTACTCTTTGAGATCTGACAATGATATATTTAACTTGATTGTCTTAAATTGTGAGGACTATATTTTATATTATATTGGCTTTAAAGAACTCTTTGGTGATATGAACCTTCCCTACACGCCAGATACTCCGCCTACATATCGCAATGATAAGTCTCAGTATTGGCGTGAAGAGTTCATTTTGGGGATCGAGAGTCAACGTTACATGGCTTTTCTGGTGGTAATTATATTGCATAAGGATGTTCTGCGAGATTTGAAAATTAAGCAATCTTTCACTAAGAGCATATTTTATTATTCAAATCTTAAACCATAAATACCAAATTGACTAACAAGGTTCTTTTCAATGGAACAAGCAAATACACATGTGGAACCCATGTGAATATTTGCCTTGGAACTATTGGGAAAATGTTAGAAAGCCATGTATCCTTGTACATACCGATGTACAGAACTATTTCTTTCAACGATCCTGGCAGAAATAGTGCTCAGACTCGCTTGAGTAGCATTTGAACCGCTGCCCCCGTCACATCCCATGGAACTGTGATTGCAAATGCTTGCCTTGCTTCACTAACATTAACCTTCATGTTCTCCGATTCCTTGCAACTTAAATGAATAGCCAAGTCCCGTGGAAGATGTGTTTACCGAAGAATATCTAACCGGAGAGGATTATGAGGCCCAGAGGAAAAATCCCGAGGATACACTGTATGAGAACAAAGAAATAGACGGCAGGGACTCTGACCTGCCGGTAGATGGAGATTTAGGCGAATATGATTTTTATGAATATAAAGACTATGAAGATAAGCAAACGAGCCCCACTAATGAAGAGTTTGGTCCCGGGGTCCCGGCAGAAACAGATATCACAGAAACCAGCGTAAGTCTGTGTTACGCTCTGTGTCGTTGTGTATTCTTTTGGGAGTATTTCCATGTTCGTCTTGATGTCTTTCCAGGTTTAAAATGCTGCTTATTGCCTTAGCTAGTGTGGATCAGTGGATAGAGCATCAGCCTGTGGACTGAAGGGTCCCAGGTTCGATTCTGGTCCAGGGCATGGACCTTGGTTGCAGCTCGATCCCCAGTAGGGGCTGTGCAGGAGGCAGCCAATCGATGATGTTCCTCTCTCATCGATGTTTCTATCTCTCTATCACTCTCCCTTCCTCTCGCTCTAAAAATAAATGAAAACATTTAAAAATAAATAAAATCCAGCTTCTCATATAAATTTTGAAAACTTATCACAGCTAGGACACCTTGATAGACTCTCCCCCCTGGGGACCTGCCCCCATTGAATCTCTGGCCACACAGCTGAAGTCTTTGTTGAAAGTATAATCTTGAATAGAATTGCATCCAGATTTTCTCTTCATTGATGCGATTAAAATGTAGTCATAATGATTTTGGGTGGTAAATGAAATTTCTGATTTTTACACTATATTTTGGTGATGCTCGGTGATGCACCATACTTATTATTATATTGTTATTATTTTAAACTTTTGACCACCTTCCCCCATTTCCCCCACTCATTTCCTCCATTTTATTAACTTTAATTTGATGATACTTTTTGATTAATGCCTTGCAACAATTTTTAAGGTCTGCGGATGTCTTTATCTTTCTGTCTTTAAGAAGCAATTGTTCATTCTCATTCAGGATTCAGTGTTAATGTTCATTATGTTTTCCTATGTTATATTTTCAGTATTTAAACCTCGAATAGGTTGCTATTTAAAAAACACACTTTAATAGGTTATTTAAAATACATTTAGATAATTGCCCTGTTAAAAATACTGGCCCGGCTGGGGTGACTCAGTGGTTGAGCTTCGACCTATGAACCAGGAGGTCACAGTTTGATTCCCAGTCAGGGCACATGCCCGGGTTGTGGGCTCGATCCCCAGTAGGTGGTGTGCAGGAGGCAGCTGGTCAATGATTCTCTGTCATCATTGATGTTTCTATCTCTCTCTCCTCTTCCTTCCTTTCTGAAATCATTTATATATACACACACACACACACACATATATACATATATATACATATATACATATATACATATATATATATTTTTTTTAAGTATGTAATGGCCTTATTTATTTAAAGACAGGCTGCTTGAATTTTCACTCAACAGATAAATGGCCATGGCGGATACGGGGAAAAAGGACAGAAAGGAGAGCCAGCGGTCGTTGAACCTGTAAGTACTGGTGTGAACACATTGTGAAGGTTGGTAGTTATTTCACTCTGTTCATTGACAATTCTGTTGTCCAAATGTGTATATAATTTGTCACAGATAACTGAGTCGGTAAGGCCATTTCTGGTAAGTGGAATCTCAGTAAACCAAAAAATAGAGAGTTATGGAATTTTGGAATTTGAAAGTGGCTGAAATGTGTCTGGTCTAATTCTCTCGTTTTACAACCAAAGAACCTGAGATTCGAGGGGTTTCAGTGCTTCCCTTGGGTGTGAATGTTTGGAGGTGGAGCTGTCACTAGACTTGAGCTCTTCCGGCTTCCAGGCCAGTGATTTCTCCTCTGATGTCTGAGTGGACATTATGAGACATGTTTTTTGACATAGATACAAATAAGTATGAAAAAAATAAGTTTCATAGCCAAATAACATTAGGTAATCAAATGAAGATTTTAAAAAAACACACTCAGTTCCTTACCTCCCAATAAAACGGCTCCAGTTCACTCCAAACATGACTTTTAAAACTATGTTAATTTTCTTACCACTCAAGATATTGGTAAGAAACATATTCTTCTTAGAAAGCAGTGTTCCTGTCCTACCTGCGGAACACCTTGGGGAAACTACTGCCTTAGAACTAAAGCTGTGGGTCTAACCATTGGCCTCACGGTCATGCATATCATTTCAGAAATTACAATGACATAAACATTAAAACAAAGATGGTGGGTGAATAAAAATGAACGTGCTACACCTATAAGGACATTATTGGCTATCCTCTCTATTTCTCCAAAATCTGAGAAAGGATGCCACATGCTCAACTGAAGGCTTTTAAAAATATGTGTTTTCCGAATGACTTTGCCCTTGTTATGAACATTTACAACCAACTTTTAAAAATGACAAAACAATTTTCGGCAGTAGAATCATGAACGTTTTGGACCTGGTTCTTATCCTGAAATAGTACTAGGTTCTCTTATGCACTTAAGAGCTGATCTCATATTTATCCCAGCTGCTTTTGTCTGCACTTTTCTCCCCTTTTCTGAATTAAAGTGCTTGGGTGTCCCTTCCATTCTTCCATTCACACAACCAGTATTGCAGTCCCTGCTCTGAGCCTGGAATTATCCTGGGAGCCGGGGACAACCTGATCACATGCCTTGGTTTTACTCTTCTTGGAAGCACTTAGCATGTTCCCTTTGTCATGTTGCTGATCCGGATATCTATATGTTTTCTAACGAGTCCATAGATTCTCTGAGGACAGGGACCCATGTCTTCTATCATTTTGAGTTCTGCCTTCCTCATGCAAAAGTGTTTGTGATTGGTTTTATGTGGTAGGAATGGAGAATTCACTTTTTAAAATGCTTTCTTAGAGTCAGGCACGTAAAAGGTGAGCGGTTACACTTTCCTTGGAAAAGAGCCTGTTTTTCCTTATTCTAGGGAATGCTGATCGAAGGACCACCAGGGCCAGCCGGACCTGCGGTATGGAAATGTTTTATGATTATTTTTGTCTTGATTTTTTAAAATAATCAGATATAAGATTTCTGTTACATTATTGAATTGATATATTTCAGACTAATTTGAGTATTATAGAGGCGAATATTTGTTCAGAGGACCTGGGCCTTGAATTGCTTTCTGATTTGGCTATCCAAATGATACTCTTTTTAAAAAAAACAACACACACACCTCTATTGTAGAAAGTATTACAGATGTTACCCTTTCTCTAGGGTGGTAGAACCCATCCTCACCCCCCGAACCCGCCCCGGGCCTCTACCACCCTATCCTCTGTGTCCATGGGTTATGCATTTATGCATAGTTCTTTGGTTGATCTTTTCCCACCCACCACCCACCCCTGGCTTCCCTCTGAGATTCTTTTGAGAGCAGTGGAAATATATTTTGTTTTAAATATTTTTGTTGCTTAAATATCTCTGCATCTAACCTCATTTTCAACCTCTACCTGAAAGTTATGCAAGTAAAAGAAAAGCCTTGGCTATTTTTAGGGAAAAGATGTAGACATATCTCCGTGAATGGGGCCCAGGATTCTAAGAGGTTGTAGCTGCCTTGTCTGTGTTTCTGAATGGAGTGACTCTCAGCTCCTTTTGTCCTTTCCCTGTGAGGCTGACATCACTCCCTGGGTCTTTATTCACAGGTAGTTGTACTGATCTGACTTTGTTATGACAACCTCTGTCTTTCGTGGGATTAATTCAAATTTCATCATCTGAAATAAGCATGTGATACTGGTGCCTTTAAATACTTTTACCCATAAAAGAAAATAGAAGACTGCCTCCAGGCTAAATGATGCTACATTTCCACACGGCTCTCACGTTCTTGAGGTCTAATCCTGGGAGTCTACCATTTCTTCCGTAAGACCCGGGACCAACATCTACCTCAGGGACTTGACCTTGGGGAGTTCTTTCCTGTGTTTCCCTGGACCATCTGCCTCCACTGGGAGAGCAGCTTCATAGAGGGAGAGTCCAGATAGCCACAAAGTGGTCCCTATATGTTGTCTGTTCATAGGAAGATAAATAGGGCAATTGTTTGAGAGAGAGTTGTATATTCATGAAAGATAAATGAGCTCTTCTTTGATGTTGGTCGGATGAATTTGCCTGCATCCTAATGAGAGCAGGAATCTGACTCAGATGCTGGTTTATTTCTCTGTAGGGTCTTATGGGCCCTCCAGGTCTACAAGGCCCGTCTGGACCCCCTGGCGACCCTGGCGATAGGGTAAGTGAAGGGGATCCTCAGAACTAAAGGATATAACATAGATTAAAAATTAAAATACATTCCACAAGCTTAACATGTTATTCGTCTCACTGCGGTGGGGGTGGTGTTTATACATTTAATGTTGTGCAACATTTAGGTCAACTTTTCTAGCTATAATTTTAAAAGTGAGGGTAGAGAATGTGCATGTTATCTATGTGATAATTAGTGAGAAAACTTATGATCAATTTCCATGTTGACATGAACCCGTTACTTTAGATTCAGTTCTTCAATTTGAATTCAGACAAAATGTCCAGGAACTGCATGGGTGTTTAGTTGACGGCTGGTAGAGTCTGAGCTAATAATGAGCATCACATCAGGGTCACATGGTGAAACCGAACTTTTATGTTAGTCTCCCCAAACTCTTCATGTGAAATCTTATCCCTTTGTTTTTGGGGTTTTTTTGACCATCCTTGTGTAGCCTATAACTTTGCACATTATGAAAATAATGTTAACTAGTATAATGAATACAGTTCTTCCTAGGTAGGCTTACTAAAAGGAGATTAACCAAGGAGTAAAAGACAAATGCCAATGAGATCATGTAGACTTATGGAAAGTTATTCAATTTCTAATAAATTTGATTTCATTCATTTATTAATTTTGAGGATTTTATTTACTTTCTAGGGTCCCCCAGGACGTCCTGGCTTACCAGGAGCTGATGGCCTACCAGGTCCTCCTGGTACCATGCTGATGTTACCGGTATGTTCTTTCTTGTAGCTATAAAGAGGACTTAACATTTGTCATCTTGTTTCTGAAAAATATTGTTGGACCATATTACAGAGCGGTCCACTAAAAATCATCCTATGAGGTAGAAAATCAAGCAGCCTTTGGAAATTATGAGAAATTTTACTGAAAATAACATCTAGTAAATATTAATCTCTACTTTAGAATTAAGATTTCAGAATTTGATTACACTTTTGACAACAAAGCTTAGAGTTTTTTCTTAATATTCCCAATCGTGCTTTATCCTGGTTGTATGATTAATCTGTATTTCATGTGTTAACATAATATTAATATACTGTTTTTCACCATATACACAATAGTTGATATCTCTCTAGTGTCATTTATTGCTCAAAAGTTATTTGCTTTACCATGAGGTTCCTTTTAATGCTGCCCTACTTCTCTGGGGAAAATTATTTATTTATGTAAAGGCAATAAAATTGCAAGTAATAATTACGTATGAGAAACTGATGCTGCATTGTAAGCTAAAATTTAAAAGAAGCTTTAGAATTTTATGGAGGGATATAAGTAGGATCGGTTTTTAGTAAAGAAAAGGTAAACAAAATAAATATAGCTCAAGGAGTTCACTGTGTTCATAGTGATTCCAAAGTTTTACTCAACGAAATAGCAATGGCCCTGTGACCACCTCTGACTTGGTGCATTTGGAATTTTTACAAATGGATGGATAATATGGGTCCATATGTGCATGTGAAAAACATATGATAGAATTTTCAGAAAGGATGGAACTGAGCAGTGGGAAGAAGCCTCTAGTCCAGTGGTTCTCAACCTTCTGGCCCTTTAAATACAGTTCCTCATGTTGTGACCCAACCATAAAATTATTTTCGTTGCTACTTCATAACGTTAATGTTGCTACCGTTATGAATCGTAATGTAAATATCTGATATGCAAGATGGTCTTAGGCGACCCCTGTGAAAGGGTCGTTCCACCGCCAAAGGGGTCTCGACCCAGAGGTTGAGAACCGCTGCTCTAGCCTCTTAGAGGAGTGGTAGAACATGGTCTAGAGACCTTGCCTAACGGCAGAAGGAGACTTCCTAAGAAAATAAAGAAATCTCGGCATCGTGATTCATGATGGTGTGACCTTGGACTTGTGTGAAATCCCACTCTGTTAAGTGAGCACTTTTGTCTAGTGAGTAAGGCATCTACTTGGCAAAGGCTGATGCTGAGTTTCTTTATGTGGCCTTTGCTCAGTTTCGCTATGGCGGCGGCGATGGCTCCAAAGGACCAGTGGTCTCTGCTCAGGAAGCGCAGGCCCAGGCGATCCTGCAGCAGGCTCGGGTAAGAAGCATCAACGTGTATGCCCTCACCCTACTATGCTAGATTGTGCGCACGTGTGAGTGTGTGAGTGTGTGTGTGTGTGTGTGTGTGTGCATCGGGAGGGTGCCACTATTTTGAACAAAATACTGTTGAGTAGAATATTAAATATAGATGGGGAAATGCTAAGATTGTATCTTTTGTCCAGCAGGATTTTTTCCCCTTAGTTGAGTATTCAGTGACTGGCCCTTGCACTATTGCCATAGATAACTCTGGTGATAACACACACGTTTTTTAATTTGTTTTGAAGACACTGGTGGGTTTAGACCTAGTACTCTCTGTCTTTCACATCCACTTCTTCCTACAATGGCAATAATTCGATTTATTGCAATTAAATTATACATAAGTAAATCAAAGAAGGGATTGGGAAAGAGTTGAAAATCATATAACATTTTTATTCATAGTGTAGTTTTTTTAAAGACGAAAGGAAATAAAGGCCTAAATTGGTGCGGTAGTGGATACCCACCCGCTCAGCGATGTAAATCGCTATGGGATATCATTGTTTATCATCATAAATCTGAGCGTATAAAATATCTGAAAACGTAAGTTTAAATTCATTACCAATATTTGTTGACATATTTACCAGTCTGTTCACCTAGAAATATGCCATTCTGTGGTGACATCATGTATAAAGATAATGAAAAATTTAAATATTTGTTTACTAGACCTTACCATAAACAAATACAAAAATATTGAAAATAATTTGTCAATGATCCCTACAATTTATCTTGTAAATTGTATTACTTTGAACAAATTTAAGGTAATTATTTGAACGTAAATATTTTATGAGGCCACTGAATTCCTCATTTTATTAGTCCTTGCAACCTACTTGGAAATAGGTAGCAAGCGTTATAATTCCAATTTTTCAGATATTTAATCTCAAGGATTAAGAAGTGTATTGTCAAAAATCTCATGGTGAGTCAGTAGCGAAACTTTGGAGATCCTACCGTTTTCATCTTGTGCACTTTTCTAATACAATTTTACGTATTATTTCTATTACTGTATTGTTTTTGATATCTGTTTGGATAATCTAAGTATTCACCTTTGGAATCACTAATATTCAAAACTCGCACACCATACTAATTTAACATCTATCAGATATTTATTCTTTGTACTCTACTTGTTCCAGCTTTTCAAGTATGCTAATTTCACATTTCTAATTTTCAGTGTCAGTAATGCATGCCTATGATTTCACAGAATAAATGTGTTTTTCTGTATAACATTAAATTTGAGATTTGTCAAAAGAAGTGTATCGCCATACTCTTTTGATCAATTTTGCATTTTGTCACCTGGCTTTCATAGTCATAGTCCTTTCTAAAATAATGGCTAGAAAATGTTTACTTAGAGCACCTAAAAGTATTTTCAACGAGTACTGAACATATACATTTAAGAGAGGTCTATACATTATTCTAAAGTACACTTCTCAGAGTAGAAAACTATATCAGATATTAGATTTCTTATTCTAAGATATATTTTAACCTTTTTTATTGAATGAATCTTAGTAGTATGTGATACAAGATTGTGTACGCTCCAAAGGTTTAAAAAATGTCTGGTACTTATTTAGGTCATCTAGAAACTAGCGATTCTTCAGTAACCAGGCCTCTTCCTAGCATGGAGCTGTCATGCCTGTGTTGGTCATCTGTCACGTGAGGTTGCTTGTGCCAAAGAATATTGTGGTTGAACATGCGAGTCCAGTAGGACATTCCTAACGTTGATATATTTTATTTTGTAGATTGCGCTGAGGGGTCCCCCTGGCCCAATGGGTCTAACCGGAAGACCAGGTCCTGTGGTAGGTTCCCCAATAAGATGATGTGTGTTTAAATTCCTAAAATAGCAGTTCCAAGGGCAGCTTGGTCCACGCAGTGTTCATACCTCTGGCTGGTGAAACTAGGGTGTATATATACCAACTCATGCTTAATTTTCTTTCCATTTAAAAAATCTATTAGAATGGAGTCCTCAGTAAATTTTGATGAAAATGAATTTTTTTTTGTTTCAGTGAAAAGTTTTCAAATCAAGTAAATACCATGAAAAATATAGTCACATATTCGAATGCTAATTTTTCTACATATAAATATAATGTATTTGCATAATATTCAGAGTTACTAAAATTCAATTTTACATTAAATTCTTGAGACTTGATTTTCTGCTAAACAGAATTTTCCGTAATAAAAGAAAAAGTATTTGAGGCCAGTGAAAATTATTCCATCATATTAGGAGCAAACAGGAGACCTGGCTTACACTCGAGACTGCCTGCAGTATTCCACACAGTGATCCAGACACTGGAGAAATTATTTGTCTTTTAGAGACTCTTGGAAAATAAGTGTTTGATTTTCCTTACTAGCTTGCTAATATATTACAAATATTTTTAAAAGTATCTTCAAATCTTATGAAACTTACTAAGTAGTAAGCATTGTAGCAATCCACAAAATGCAGATTTTTTTCAAACCATATTGTTTTCTTTAGAAAAAAAGAACACTGTAGGATCGCAACCCAAGTTCTCCTTGATTTTAGAATTAATGGAATAAATAATTTCTACTTTAAATATTTGTTTTTCAATATAAAAAGTCATGTATACTCTGCTTGTATATGATTTTATATGCTTTCAAAATGCTTTATTGAACTAGGTATTTATAGAAATTATAGACCTGAAAATGAAAATCTTATCTTGGATTTACTTAGTGGACACATAGCAAAACTATTTTATTCAAGTTTAATCAAGTACACAATCTTCTGTTTAATCTCTTTTACTCTTATTAGGATGAGAATAAGAGATTTACTATTGTATTTTATTGAAGCGTCTGTTATGTAGTTTTACATGTACTTACAGTTCTCTTAATTCAGTCTTGAAATTCCATAACATTGTATATATTTTGAAGGGCTTTACGCTCAATCATATGAGCTCATGTGGAATATACGTGCTGACAATATGTCCCACAGAATGTAAATTATACATAGTTCTATGTGCATTATTAAGTGTTATCACGTATTTTTACTGTTCTGCTCTCACAGTATGCTAATTTCACATGGAAGATTCCATGCTACTTAACAAGGGAAGAAATAGTGTTAATATTTAATGGCTACTTAGTGATAACTTCAGTTTACCTGATGAAGGAACATCAGAAGCAAGTTAGTGCTTTACAGATTTGGGCGCAGAAGGGTTACCTGTATATTTCATTAACAATAAATGCTCTTGAACCCTGAACCTGAGACTCTGATGATACAGGTTCAGGGTCGGAAGCGGCAAACTATAATTTTAAAGAGTTCACCGGCTTGATTCCTATAGTCAAGAATGTTTGGGAAACACTGACATGTATTACTTTAAAAATATTAGTCTAGGACCTCTAACACTGTCTTTTCCAAAAGAATTTTCCTACTTATCATCCAGACAAACACAAGCCTAGTGGATTTGTAGCGGGTAAGGGCGGTGGGGAGCAGAACCAGTAAAAGCAGAGAAAATTGGCACCTTCTGTATCACCAAACAGTCATTAAGGGTCACATCACGTGGGCAGAAAGATATAACATTGATGACCGTGTGCACATTCTCAGTGTTACATCCACGATGAATGAATTTTACTACTTAAGTCTTTGTTATGGGAAGTATCAGATTCCTTAAATATTAAAGGTAAGTATTGAGAGAGAGAAAAGTCACGTTGCTTCTTTTTACCATTTTCTCTATTATCCTTCGCTCCAAAACATCCAATTATTACACTTTCAAATATCTGTTAAAACTAGAGTCCAAAAAATTTTATACATTAAGAATTTAAAAAGAAATAGAGACTACATCAACATTTTAAGACAAATATGTACATTCTTCCAATGAAAAATGTCTTCATTCAATTGTTTTCTTCCCAACAGACAAATGGGGGCTTAGCTTATAAAATATACAGGAAACATAGAAAATGTCTTTTTCCCCCTGTCCTGTTACTCTCAATTATTGCATGACAATTTTTAGAATAAGTGTTTGGGCAAAGTAATTATAATCTGTTGAGTAGGTAGTGCTTATATACAGAGGACATAATGCAGCAAATTAATTAAAATAAATCGAGTGCCCGAGCATTCAATTCAGTGATTAATAATCAGATTTAATGTAGAGCCCAGTTTTTCTCTGGAAGACATCTGGTTGTAGGAATTCTTAATTAGAAGTTTGAAAGTCATCATTCTTGTCACTTTCAAGGTTAGAATATTCCTGTTTCTGACTTGCTGTCTTTCTCAGGAGTCCTATGAGTAGTTATTTCACGTTGGAGCCACCAGGAGGCGCTAGAGAGCTGACACTTTCAGACAGCAGCATTTTAATTTTTCCTACTTTGATTCAATGCACTATTAATGGAATATGAATTTGATTTAAATGAACCCTTCACTTCTTAGACACACAAAGTATATTTGTATGGCATGAAGAAACTATTACCACCAGGTTCAGTTGTAATGTTCTAAACCTTTCTAGGGGGATGACCAGCTAGTCTTTATTGCTTATTTTATTTGTTATTGATGTGACCTTGACACACCAGGATTGAAGCAAAACCACAGAGCATGCTGCAGCTTCACCCAAAAGTGGTGGTTTTACTTTGCCCTTTCTTTTTTTTTTTAATATATTTTTATCAAATTCAGAGAAGAAGGAAGAGATAGAAACATCAATGATGAGAGAGAATCATTGATTGACTGCTTCCTGCACACCCCACACTGGGGATTGATCGAGCCCACAACTGGGGCACGTGCTGAGAATCGAACCATGACCTCCTGGTTCATAGGTCGATGCTCAGCCACTGAGCCACGGCGGCCGGGCTACTTTACCGTTTCTTGACGGCCCAGTGGGTCATTAGCGAGAGGCCCAGTGAGTGCTTTTAAAAGGAGTACCTAGTATTTATGTCAAAAACCCACAGGACCTTTATAAAATGCTTTTCTATTTTTGCAGTTAACGTGCCAGGCTTTTGTTGCACTTTGTGCATTCTGTACATGTTGGTAAGGTGTTTGTCATAAGGACTTCTTCTCGGAGGAAAAGCACAGACCAATCTGAGAATAGGCATTGGCCTTATTCCGGGACAATTGCGGTGGTAGCAGTAGCCTCTGTTCTTGACGCGCTGTTGCCGTAGAATGCAGTGTCTGATAAACGTCTCAGGGTAAAAGCAAGAGCCGCCCGCCCCGTCCTTGCTGCCTGAGCACGCTCAGCACACCCGATGCAGTGAGCGTGGTGCCCGTAGGGCGCATGTAAGTGCGATGATAAGTGACGCCTGTGTGTCATCGTCAGTGCTCCGAAGGTGCACACATTAAGGACAATTTCCCTGTGATTTCACGAAATTGGCTTCTGTGTAGTTATCCCTAAAATAGGCTTTTCAGTGGAGCTCACCCTGGAATACAGTCTGAGAGGAGATGCATTTCAAAGGACTTGGAAATGTTATCCTATTAATACAATCACACTAATTGGATAAAGTACATTTTGAGTAATGTTTCGTCATCTCAGGTGACAATGGTGGGAGAAGAGTGGTAGGGAATTGCCCCATTAAATGACTGCGTCCTCACTTTTCTCTCCAGGGGGGGCCTGGTTCATCGGGTGCCAAAGGGGAGAGTGGTGACCCAGGTCCTCAGGTAAGGACAATTTATGTCACTTCTTTCATTTTTGCCTTTTGTTGTTGTTGTCAAGTAGGATAATGGGAGTGTCTGCCACTTGTTTTATGAGGAAAGAAATGACTGACACTACCTTGAAGCTCACATCATCTCATTTCCCTGAGAAATCCTTAGTGGCCAGTTGACTGCCAATGACTTGATTAATTTGAGCAAATAAGAGATGCACATTCAAATGATCATATTCATTGAAAACTAACAAGATTTGTCCTGCTGTTAATTGCCCCTTGCCTGCCAGCTGGGTACAGACAGGGTAGGGTGCTCTCTCTGCAATGATTTTTTAAAAGCTGCATTCTCTTAACCTCTAAGTATTAGACACCCTTAACTTTATACTTTTTATCATCAGTATTTAACCGTGATCATAAAATTATTTGTCATTTCAAATGTGCTACATTTTCTACCAGATGATATGCATACTGTTTAAATTAACTTTAATTATTTATAGTTAGTTACATATAAAAGCCTATGTAATATTTATACTGGAACTGCATTTGATCTATGATTCGTTGTGTAATTTTATTTTAAAAAACGTGTATCGATCTCCACGGGAGACTTCATATGCAGATACAACATTGCATTGTCCTGATTCAGGAGAGAAACACACTGAGCATCTTCAGCCTTCACGCTGCCTGGCATGGCTTGGGGCCAGTCAGGCATTTGCATCAGGGATCGCCAGGCGTCCGCCGGCATTCTCCGGGTGATTGGAAAAACCTGTGCTAGGCACGGCGCTGAGTTGGAAGAAGATAAAGGAGAAAAAGACAGATTTAGTCCAAAACTGCAACAGTTAACTCAATGGGAGAGTCAACTGTGAAAAATAGGCAATTATAACCCAGTGTGATAAATGAAATAAAAGACTGCCTAAGAGAGGAACTGCCAGAAATGAAGGGAAAGGTGTTAGAAACAAAAGAGGAATGAGATGGATGGGTTAGGGATGTTTTAAGTCCAGTGAAATACAAAACCTTCAGGTTTTGAGAAAAAAAAAGAATAAGGATTTTTAAAAAGTTTAAAATATTACTGTGTTCCTTTTGTTTAAATGAAGGTGCATGCTTCTATAAACTTAATAAAATAATATGACTCTTTTCTGCAAGAAGTCATTTAGAAAAATTGATTCACTTGTCTTTTAGTTTATCTGGACTTTTGCATAAGAACTGATTTTCTTGTGTTAAACCGATTAAGACATAAAATAAAGAGAAATAAGAAAATGATTAAGGTAAAGTTAATTGGGTATAAACTCCTAAAACCATGTCTGTCAATGTGATTGAGTTTATTGGTCAGGAATTTTAGAAAATGAATTAATTGCGATGTTTTGGCACAGGGTCCTCGTGGTGTCCAAGGGCCGCCTGGTCCGACGGGGAAACCTGGCAAAAGGGTAAGGCTGGCGTCCGTGTGTATTTTGAGGGACGCTGAAGTCATCGGCTCTTCTGTCGTACTTTCCTCTGTGCTCGTCGGAAAGTACTGGCTTTTGGTTAATCATGTTCTTGGCATTATCAGGGTCGTCCCGGTGCTGATGGAGGAAGAGGAATGCCAGGAGAACCTGGGTCAAAGGTCAGGAGCTCAGCTGTTTCTATATTCAGATCCTGTATGTCAGTGCAGCCCTCAAAATTTTGTGTTTTAAAATATCTTTCTTGATATAAAAGATTATGTCACAGTGAAATTATCCCACAGAATGAAACTGAAAATGTGATGATGATGATGATGGTAGTGGTGGTGGTGATTGTGATGGTGATGATAGTGATGATGAAGATTGTAGTGCTGATGATGGTGATGATGATGATGATGATGAAGGTGATGATGATAATATTGATGATGATGATTTTATAGGGGGATCGAGGATTTGATGGACTTCCAGGTCTGCCAGGTGACAAAGGTCACAGGGTAAGATATACCATTCTGTTACTTTTTATATAGAGATAATACAAGAATATTAGGAAATACTTTAGAAATGATAAACTCTAGGAAATTAGAAGAAAATTTAATATTTATAAATCCAGTTAGTAAGTCACGACACCTACTTGATACTTAAAGAAAGATAGGTAGAATTACACATGCAGTATTAATATAAGTTCTTTGTTTTTAGATTTTAAAATACTCATTTTATATAAACATAAGTTGAGACAGAATTTTTATTTACATGTATGTAGAAAATATAATTATAGAAGAACAATAATTTAGGGATTTAATTTTACCTTCCATTTTTCTTATAATTGCCTTAATTTTTCCTTTAGCCTTACATTTTCCACTTGTAGAAATATACTCAAAAGAAGACATTTGTAGGCAATCTGTTATTAGTATAACAATATACTGGACACTTTTATTATACTAAATGAGAGGCTTCTGGCAGACAGAGACACCACAGCTGTTTCTTTGCTATAATATAACCTTGCAATCCAATGCAGGAGCTTATCATTGGGTAGGGCTAAATAAACACCATTGTGAACAGAAATCCAGGAGGTATTTTTAGTGGGATATTAGCAATCAGTCTCTCTCTCAAAAAAAAAAAAGATCAGTTTTGGATCTTTACATTTTTCTTTTCTAGAAGTTAAGAATGAAGGTAGCATAACCTTTAGGTAAATTGGAGAATATATTTTAAAAAGAAAGAAGGAAATAAAGAAAGAAAAGAAAAGGAAGAAAGGAAGGTTGTCTAGCAAGATAATGTATGCATACCACATGTCAAGAGAAATACATAGTTTTGCTTTAAAAAAAAATCCCAAATTCCTTTAGTATTCTAGAGTTGTGCTGATTTAATATGAATTATTTTAGAAGCAGAAAAATTTTAAATGAAATTAAAATCACCAAAGTGTATCCATGTTTGAAATAATTTTCAGCAAAATAATATTTTAACGGTTTACCTTATAATAATTCCACGTCTGGAAATGATGTTGAGTGTTTAATTTAAACCTTTTCATTTTAAAAACCAAGGGACTCTTTCCCTAGCATACTAAAGCGGCACCAGTTCATGTGAAGGGATGGTTTGCCTGCGAGGTGCTCTGAGGGGGGCACTGAAGCGAAGGCCCCCTGCCGAAGGCTCTGTTCGTTGGTAGGAGAGCTGCAGAACAGACCTCTAAGCCGGCTGCTTGATTTCATATTCGAATTGCATTTGTGTTGATTTACTAGGGTGAACGCGGTCCCCAAGCCTCCCAGCCCTCCTGCGAAGACGAATGAGGGTACATGCAACTTTATTTTTTATGGAAATGTTTACAATTAGACATAAGAGAACAGATCACGTAGAAACGACACATTGTCTAATGGTGCTTCCCTCCCACTCATTCTGCAACGACAGGGGGAAGACGGAGAAATCGGACCTCGGGGTCTCCCAGGGGAAGCTGTAAGCAACTTGCGTTCTTTGTAAATTACACCCCCGTTTTGGAGGGATAGTGAGTGGGGCTGCCCCCCGTAAGGTCAATGACTAAGGCTGGTGACTATTAATTACCTAATTAACCAGGTGATTATTATGTAAAATAATTAAAGGATACCTTGTGCTTTTCTGTTATCAGTTCTCAGACACTGGAGAGACAAGACATGTAAAATATAACATCTTGTCAGACAAAAACCCTTATCTGGTTTTGGTTGCTGTTTCATTTTTTTTTTTTAATATCAGTAATAGCTCTGGAATCTATTTGGGCATTTAGGATAAATGAAGCTTACTACCAGAAAAACACTACAACATGAAGTGCTCAGTATGCCAGATAAAAGAATGCTAGAGTCTAGTTTCTTCCACTGAATTTTACGAGTGAAAGAACTGAATACGGAAGCTTTACCCAACGCTAGTTCATCAAAGAACCAGACTGGAGGCAGGCCTACGCCCATGAAGGGACATGTCTGTGTAAATCTAAAACGATAATATGACTCTTTCTGTGCAAGGAGCCATTTAGGGGAAAAAATGATTCTCGTTTCCTGCTTTATCTGGACTTTTACATAGAAATGATTGGCCACTTATAGAGCCTATTGGCTCAAAGGCAGGAGAGCTGAGAGAATATGAGAAACAGGGAGCTATTGTGTTGACTTTTCAAAGGGAGGAAACCCCAACAGATGGAGGAGGGGGAGGGAAGAGGAGGAAAGTTAAGATTAAACACAAATAATTTTTAAAACATCTCAGGGAAATGGCTTCTATCATCTGTGTACATAGTTACCGGGAGCTTCTTTCCCTCCGGGGATATTCTCTCAAGATGGACTTAACCCCAAAGTAAAACAGATGAGAACTGGGACCCGTCTCCGTGTGGAGCAGAAACATGAGGTTTAATCCGATTCTGTGCTGCCATTGCAGTCAGAAGGGACCCGGCAGTGACATACTTAAAGCATTAAGCTATTTCTTATTTAAAAAATATCCCAAGTGGTTCCTACGGAAATTTACAGAAACAAAGATACGCGGTTTCTGTAGCAAAGACTCGCTGCCATCCACTCTGGCTTCCGAGTCAGCATCAGCACTGACCATGGGTCACGGAAAATGGGCTTAAATGCCACTTTCTGTGAGTTGAGCGACGACATACAGTCTCTTTACTCTGAGCATGACATTCAGGTGTCTTCTGAGGCGGGGCCTGTTGGGAGCGCATTTCTTAGGGGGACGAGCCTTTCCTTTGTTTGTCTGTTTCCTTCCAGGGCCCGCGGGGCTTGCTGGGGCCACGGGGCACGCCAGGACCTGTGGGGCAGCCTGTGAGTATGGCCGCCGCGGTGGGGCCGCCGTGGTGGGGCTGCCGTGGTGGGGCTGCCTTGTTGGGGCTGCCTTGGTGGGGCTGCCGTGGTGGGGCTGCCAGGCCAAGCTTGTGGGGTGTGACACGGGGAGGCCGGACAGCCTTGGCGGGACAGCTCCCACTGGAACCACCGGCCCAGGGCTAGTACTAGAGCTTCCCTGTTTGCGGTGTAACCTCAAACCCTTAAATATGAGCAATAACGGCGTTGATGTTCCCAGACCCAGCCACGCTGCTTTGTCAGTGTCAGGCAGCTCTTCCTTGTGGTTTATCTCCTGGTGATGTTTCCTATCAGGTTTCTTAGGCGCACAGTGGGGGCTGCTGTTTGGGTTTTCCCCTCTGGGAACAGATGCCCGAAGCACAGGTCTCCCCTTTCTTTCCTCATCCCCATTCCGTCCTGAACTGATCTGAGCCCCCGGGGCTAAGGGTGTGGTGGCCATGAGGTGGTCAGTCCCTTTTGATGTGCGGGTGGCATCTAAGCTGATGAACATCACACACATTTTTGTTCTTTCATTGAAGGGCATCGCAGGTATC